GTCACGATTATAGTGTGTGTAATGATTTTTGGACGAATATTGGTCAACTAGGACGCAATCGGCGCGCGATCTTCTGATAATTATATACAGTAAGTATATAATGAGGTTTTTTTTCTATAGATTATTTTTCGTAAATAATTAGAGCCGATTTCACGGTATTTAGTTTCATTAACGATTAATGATAATGTTAGTATTACTGCTTTAAATGACTTTAATCAAATAACAATAACAATTAATGCAAATCATTATATAAATTATATAATAATAATTTTTATGTTATATTAATTTTATTATAAATGTATTGTATGAAGAAACGTTTAGTGTTAAACAGTTAAAGGTACAATAGACTTTATTATTATAATAACACTTTATTATTATAATGTAATAATTATAACAAAACAATATATCATTTATTTCGTAAAAAAAAAATATAATTTTCATAGTACATACATATATATGATTTTATAACATACATAAACAAGATAATTCCTGTCGAATTACTTGCGTATTCGAGTAAAAACACATTTTATTTTTTTTTTTCTCTTGTCAATTATATAACAAAGAGAATTGCATGGGCTTTTCTATGAATAAATTATCTTTGTTGTTGATGAAACCAGGCGACAAGGGTCAGTGCAATATCGTGGGTTCAATTTTTGATGATATAGGTACCGGGAAAATACGTAGACTCGTTCATTCGTTTATGACACCGAGATACAAATCCATCAATCTTGATCCTTATTATTGGCTAATAAAAAATTCCATCGAGTTGAATTTCAGCGTTTGCGGGATCATGAATTGAATTATCATTGAATGAAATATCATTGAGGTTTAGAGCGTTGGCTGTCCGATGCGCGACTGAACATTTCAATTATTTTCAACCAATCGATCGCGTGGCGGTTCGCTCATCCAAGAAAACATGCGAAATATAGCCTTCCTTCCTTCCTTCCTTCCTTTCTTCCTTCTTTCTTATCGCGCTTCCTCTCTTGTGAACCATCACGAGCGCGCGATTTGGGTTCGATTCACGTTCCACCCGTTCGCGACAGACTCGTGGGAGCATTTAATGAACGTATTTATAGTCGTTAGGCCATCCTTATGTGCCGAAGGAAGCCTTGAATCAACGTTTCACGATGCAAGCCGCGTCGCGCGTTCTTCTGCGTTCATTTCTTCTGCGCGATTAGCAAGGCGGATGATCGCTCACGTTGCGACAACGAGCCGTCAATTCGACCGTCGACGGCGTCACGGGGGATTCCGCGATCATTATAATGTCCCGATCGGGAAAAAAACGCCGGCCGAAGAAAAAAAAACGAAATGTCAGACCGGTGCCTCGGTCGACTTCGACTCAGCACTTGAGACAAACATAGAAGTTTTGGAAATTCAAACGAATCCGAATTTGTATTATTCTTTCCTTACTCGCATAGCTTCTTCTTTATCTCTGAAAGATCGTTCTTGCGACGACGTTAGAAGCGATACGCTATCGCGTAATGCCATTTAATTGTCGGTAATTTTTATCCTCGCCGTAAGCAGATAAATTATAACACGTGCACTTGTTCAAATGCTGGAAGAAAAAAATATTTCCTCGTCATCTAGCTCACATGGTTACGAAGCTTTGGTTTCTTCTCTCTCTCTCTCTTCTCTCTCTCTCTCTCTCTCTCTCTCTCTCTCTCTCTCTCTCTCTCTCTCTCTTCTTCTTCTTCTTCTTCTCTCTCTCTACTCTCTCTCTCTCTCTCTCGTCGTGTACGTACGTACG